AAAAAAATGCAATAAACATCGCAGTCTATTTACATAAAGCAACAGCGGTAATCTCTCGGGTTACATTATAGTCGTTTCCAATGTGAAACCACTTCCAGCTCCAACATGCTCCTTTTAACGAACGGCCGGCGGCAACAGCATGACGCTTTCATCGAACACAACTTGAGCAAGTCCCAGAAGAGCTCAGTGTGTACGTGTATGCTGCATAAATGTATCAGGACATGAAAGTACAGGCAACAGCTCAGTCGGGGTACCAGTTCCATTTAAACATTTCAAATTCCAGCCTAATTTGGTTCACCAATTTGGATACAACCTTCCATTCATGATTTTATTTGTCACTTTATATGCACGTTTGGAGATGATATATCGGCTACAATATGTTCCACACAGCTCTGAGGTTTAAGGTTCAAGGTTCAGATCGCTGGTCTGGCTTTGTTAGTTTGCATGTTCACCCACTGCTCGCTTGGACTACAGCATCCTTCCAAATCCCCAAAACATGCACGTGTCTCACCCGCTCTCCTATTGAGAACAAGCAGTCAGCAGGGTAATGGAGATTAAATAATATGAACAGCCAATCGATGGGTCAGAATGACACACTCCTGTTTTTTAATCAACTGTCCTGTTCAATGACAGTCATTCCAAATGGAGCCGAATTATCTTTGGAAAGGTGGATGATGCAACCGGTGTGATGGATAATCAAGTCATCATCACATTTGTGCATTTGGATTGCAACCGACAGGTGCTGACTAGGGTTGGGAAATTCTAGAAAGTAGTCAAGTTGGAAACTTTTGAAAGCCTTTAATGGGAATAAATGACGCTTTTACAAAACTGAAGGTTGGCTCTTATTGGTGAAGTTAAATATTGCTATCTTCGCCGACACCTGATTTAGGAGAAACCTTCAGAGATGTGGCTGCGCAAGTGAAAAAAGGGGAGAATAAACAATAAATAATTAAGAAGACATTGCTCGCGACAAAACAAAATGTATTTACGTTTGAATAAGATGCCTTTTTTTTATTCACGTAGCCCAGTTCGAAATGAATCCTCACAACTATTTTGGTTGATAAACAATAAATAATTAAGAAGACATTGCTCTCGACAAAACAAAATGTTTGTATTTACGTTTGAATAAGATGCCTTTTTTTATTCACGTACCCCAGTTCGAAATGAATCCTCACAACTATTTTGGTTCTCGATTTGAAATATTTCCAAGGTTGCGTAGTTGAAATCCCTCTGGAAATTGAATGCAAACGTTTACCCTCTTTTTCCAACCCTTGTGGCGACAAAGGGGAGATGGACTCACATGACAAGCGGCGGTTGACAACTCCCAGTCTGAACAACAGCTGCAGCACTCTTAGCAGAATGCTCGGCCGCCACAATCACCTTGAATTGTTTGAGGTGGCCTTGCTTTTCCCGCTCATCTCCGCTATTATTTACTCACAGAGACAGGCAACGTTTCCACGGTGGCTGTGGCCATTAGCAGCGCTTCGTCTCAGTGGGAGTCCTCTTTCAGAGCGCCGCACACTCTGGACTCCAGCTGGTCCGCTACGGGCCGGGAATCCGGGTTTGAGGCGAGCATGTCGAGAAGCAGGCCACACATCGCCGGGCCGGGAGGGCTGGGCGGCGGGGCTGCTCTTTTCCACTTCATGGGAATACACAGCTGGAGGTCAGCGTTCTCCCACAAAGCTTCGCCCAGTGGCGTCAACCAGCGACCCTTACACACGTAAGCACCTCAAGGGGAAACATAAGAAAATATGTCATCACTAGATCAACTCATATCTCTAAAATCATCACTATATAGGTATAATTATCACACTGCAGCTGAACTTTTTTTGAAGGCAGTTTTGTATTGATCGCTATTTCAAATGGGTTGGAATGGGATTGTTCTGTTCTCCGCCCATTCCCGCTTACAAGATGGTGTGCACACTTATTTACCGTCCGCCTTTACATAAACAAAAGAAAGGTGGAAATAAAAGGTGGAAAATTTGAAATGGTGATGATCCGCAAGTCTTGCTTTCTTTTTCCAACGCAAGTTCCGGCCAGCCAAGTGATGCGGAAAAGGAAAGCGGCAAACACAGTGACTCTCTATCAACATCGATGACAATGTGCTCTTTCTCTTGCAAAAAGTCACACGCTGTAAATGTGTGACTATTGAAAAAGGAAAGAGTCAAGTCGCGGAGCATTTTATCCATCTGTGAAATGACCCCATCCGGCTCTCCCATTATCTGCCTGACAAAGAGGATTGTGAGCCGCTGTATTCCATTTTGCCTCGGTCATTTTTTTCAAATGCTACCGAAATCTCGCTCTCACTCCACTCGCAACCATTCTTATTCTGCCTCATGAGAGCATCACTGACCCTCGGATGTTTTAAAGTCTTTTTCTTGGGGCGAACTGTTGCATCGGAACGCTATACAGCCTCAAGGCTAATTCTAAAAGCCCAAACGCCAGCTCACTTGCAATTATCATTCACCTGAAGTTTCAATTGATCTTAATGAATGTAAACCGTGACCAAAAGGCGGTGTTTGAGTGAATGAATTTTATTACCAGTCAAAGGCAGACACACAAACACACGTCGTCTCGAATTAAGAGGGACAGTGGTGCTTTCGTCCCTTCTCGACATTTTCAACGATCCCTCATCTCTATGCCATTTACATGAACGATTAATCGGCCATGCTTGACGAGCACATGATGTATAGTATCTGACACTTTTAATATGTCCCAGTTAATGGAGTCAAACTCGATTCAGTGCCGCATCACCAACCTATAAGATCACTCACTCACACACACACACGCGCGCGCACGCACACAAACACTCACTCAACCTTTTTGACCTCCCACTTGGGGCTGCGCCTGGTAAAGCAGATTATACATGCGCCCATTTCGAATCTTCTGATCAAAGTCAGGAAATGCCTCATTCTCTGAGGTCTCGGAAAGATTATCCTGCGGCGTGGGGTCGGTGCGTGTTGATCGTGATTTTGCTCCCCTACGTTTTCGTAAAACGGTCTCCGGTCTGGCAATTGGAAATGCTTATCATGTTCCAATATTTGTGATCGCAAATTGTTACGTGTGGAATCACGTTAGTTCGGATGGTGACAGTGGCAACAAACGGTAGCCGAAAATAGGAAGTGACCTGAAGATTAATCGGCCATGCTTGACGAGCACATGATGTATAGTATCTGACACTTTTAATATGTCCCAGTTAATGGAGTCAAACTCGATTCAGTGCCGCATCACCAACCTATAAGATCACTCACTCACACACACACACGCGCGCGCGCACGCACACAAACACTCACTCAACCTTTTTGACCTCCCACTTGGGGCTGCGCCTGGTAAAGCAGATTATACATGCGCCCATTTCGAATCTTCTGATCAAAGTCAGGAAATGCCTCATTCTCTGAGGTCTCGGAAAGATTATCCTGCGGCGTGGGGTCGGTGCGTGTTGATCGTGATTTTGCTCCCCTACGTTTTCGTAAAACGGTCTCCGGTCTGGCAATTGGAAATGCTTATCATGTTCAATATTTGTGATCGCAAATTGTTACGTGTGGAATCACGTTAGTTCGGATGGTGACAGTGGCAACAAACGGTAGCCGAAAATAGGAAGTGACCTGAAAGTGACATTGTTTCCAAACACAAATAAGGAAGCAACCGCTGTTGACTGTGTCGAATATAATGTGTCTCCCAAGTCATCCACCTCAATAAAAACGACAAGAATAATTTGTCACTTCAATTGAGCTTGCAGATAAACCAACAATTAGCGCCTAACTTCTTCAATTTCTTCTTTGTATTTTCCAGCAGTTTGAATGTCCTGTGGTGTCACGCAAGATGAAGATTACCTTTAATGTAGCTACCAAGCATGTGACGGGAAAAGAATACTTCAAACGGTGTATGATGTATACCTGGACATCTTATAGAGGCACAATTTCTGTCCGTTGTTGACTCACCAAGTTGCTCGTGTGTGGTTCCTTCCTCCAGGAAGGTGATTCTCTCCAGGACGGCCCAAAACATCACGCCGAGCGAGAAGATGTCTGCCTGAGCTGTGTAGGTGAGTCCACCCCAAACTTCTGGAGCCATGTAAAAGTCTGAGCCACAGGTGGACGAAAAGTGTTTCCTGCCCAGGTTTCCACGCACCAGACCCTCACTTATCTTGCTCAGACCAAAGTCAGCGACCTGGAGGTAGACATCAATGCCCAATTCAAGCATGAACTACAAGCTGAACATAAAAGTGAAAATTAGGGACAAGATAGGTAGATATTCATCCAATTACAGAAATGTAGGACCTACCTTAAAAATAGGACCGTTAGGTGTAACACTGACAAGCACGTTGTCAGGCTTTAGGTCTCGATGGATTATCCCAAGATGATGCAGAAAGGCCACGGCACTGCTGAGCTGCTGCACCACACTATGGTTCCTATGGACGTCCGGTGGCCTGGAGAGCAGGTATTGATTCAAGTCCCCCCCATCACAGTACTCCATCACGAGCCAGAGGGCAGAGCAGCACGGAGATCTCGTCTGCTCATCCTCTCTCTCGGGTAGCCTCTTCCTGGATCTGTTTGAGGGCCTTTTTGGAGTTGAAGGGCAAGGGGGGTTTGATGGGAAAATGTTGGTCCTGTCTTGAAGTCTGGACACAGAGTTAGTCCTCCTCCGAGTGTTACACTGTGAACCTCGATCATGACCAACACTTCCTTTTAGCACACTTTCAACAAGATGTAAAGGCAGCTTCCCCTTCCTCAGGGGCTTCAAACTCCTCCGTCCTGTCTGCAGGAGGCAACTGTGCAGTGCAATAACGTTGATGTGGTTCTTGGCTGTGGTTCTCATGGCCCACAGTTCTTGCAAGTAGAGTTCAATGCATTCTGGGTCCTTGCAGGGCAGACGCTTGATAGCCACCTTTTGTCCCGTTTTGGATATGAGACCCTCAAAGACCACGCCATAGCTGCCTCGTCCGACCTCCTTCTCTAAAGTGTAGAGGTCCTCCATGTTTCACAGGCCTGTTGTACAAGGACGGCATAAATAAAATACCACGTACACGTTATAATGAGAGATTTTTTTATGCGTACTTTTTAAGGTGCTCTATGTACAAATTGCACTCCATAAATTCAAAGAGAATGCGGAGGGACGCAAAAGCTGAAAGGATGGTTGATCGATAACATTACAGAAATTCCCAGACACTATTATGAGGATATGTCAGCATATGTGTACAGCGACAAAGCCAAACTTTGTACATAAGTCAGGTGGCTCCTTAGTCTATCACTAAACGCCCTCAAACGCAGTAGCAAAATGAAATACGGTTTAAATTTGACAACATTAAATTAACGGAAAAGCATCGTAGCACTTACACAAGCATGGTTATTATGTAGCTAAATGGGGTCTTCGAACGCGCACAAGTTCAACTCGACACAACTCGTCTTTTCATACAAGAGACTCAAAGTGAAGACAAAGACACGGCACTATTCGTCAATGCACCTTCATTATTCACAAACTTACCCTCAAAATTGCTGAAATTTAAATCGATAAAGTTCTAAAAGGAAAAAACGCCACCAAAAGAAAAAAAAACGACGTAGGCGTACTTCCGCATTCAGGCCGTCCCGCTCTGACTGTACGAGAATTGTGAATGGCCGCCGACGTTCAGCACTTTGTTTTGATTGGCCATTTCGGAGCGGTGGGGGCGTGTGTAATTTGAATTGCGAATTGCATTCGTCCAATCACAATGGCTAAAGTCTCTGGTTCGTGTGACTCGAACTTGGAAATTGCTTTGAAAAACAAAGTAGCAGTACAGAGGTGCAAATTGCGAGTGTGAATGGTTGTTAGTTTATGTGTGCCATGCGATTGGCTGGCAACCAGTTCTGCTCTGCCTACTACTCCAAGACGCCCGCAACCCTCGTGAGGATAAGCGGATCAGAAAATGGATGGATGGAAATATAGCTTTATTTATGTATCTATACCAGCGATGTATATTGACAAGCACTACATTGACGAGAGTCAGTTCACCCTGGATTGGTCACCACCCAGCCACTTGCATGCACATATAGACCAACAACCAATCAGACTCGCTTCAACACCTAAGGACAATGTAATGAATCGAAAATGCATGTTTTAGAATGGGGGAGGAATCCTGAGTAGCCGGAGACAGCACAAACACAATGAAAAATTCATTAATAATAGCTATATTTAGGACATGGATCAACATGAGTCCCACAACAGCAATTTAACAAAAATATGCATGGTGTAATGTTACTTTCATTCCCACAGTCACAGTTAATCAGACACAATGTGGGCACCGCATTATTTTTGAAGATTGTCGGTGAACGAGCAGAACACTGACCACAGATTGGGTGGGTTGGTGGATATTGTATCTTTGTGCGCGTTTGTAATTCTGAGAGAATATATTAGGAAACTGAAGCTCTGATAGACAAAAGTGTGTGTGTGCGCGCGTGCGTGCATTTGTGATCCATTGCCTCTATCAGCGATGCTAATCTTGGCGAGTCCTCATTACTTGGTTCAGGGTGAAGTCAGTCACACTTGACTAGTTTTTATCTTTAGGCAAATGCCCTTTATTCTATTATCATATGTCACCTACTGACAAGACGCAGACGGTGACTGGATACAGAACGCACCTTCCACTTGGGGAATTTAGTGGGGAGCTAGTTTTGGGGGGAAACAAACCACGATGCAGGAATTGACTTTCCAGTAAAATACTCAATATGACATTAGAAGCTTTCTGAAAAGATCCTGATGGATTCAATCGGAATTTAAGCTGCAATCAGCCCAGGTTTCTGATTCGCTGTGTTTCTATGGGAGCTTTGTTGGCTAATTAAAGTGTCTGGCAATAGGAGGGGCAGCAGTAATTATTTCCTTGATTGAGGTCAACGCCCTCCCGTTTAATCCCAAAAAGGTCTATCCCGAGCCCTCTCCAACACAGAGTGAACATCAATAAACAACCTCCTACTATGCTGTCATACATTTCACACCAGTCACCATATTAACATGAAAATTGGCCTCAATAGGACCCAGGGTGTCGGTGTCAATGGCATCCTCATTTCTTGCTATTACAATCCTGATGTGTTTCGTGTAGGACTGCTGCGATGAATTCCCACTTTGAATATTTCCAAATGGCAACAAGTAAAACGTTCCTCCTGGCTCAGATGCCCCTTGGCCAGTATGAGCTGGCAATGAAAAGAAATTATCTTGAATGCAAACACACCGAGCACTGCTGTGTGCTTCCATGAATATGAACACGTTATTCGCGGTTTCTTTTGGTGGTTCATGCAGTGTATTTTCACAAGAGAGGTGCACGTTTAATAATAAGAATAATGCGCTGTTAGCATCAGCTAGGCAACTCAGCATAGCATCGACTATACTTGTATGTAACAGTCAGGGACATGCAATCAGCAAACGCTTCTATCTTTCTTAATCATTGTAGATGATCACGAGGCTGGCCGCGAGCCGGAGATCGCATGCTATCTGGGCGCATCAGCCATCGCTCTTCTGGTGGGACACAATTGTCACTTCCTCATCCAGTTTAAACGGCAAAAAGGTAAACATACAGTATGGATGAGTAATAGTAATCAGAAAAGTATCCAGAATTCAAATAGTTTTAGCCATCCAATCTGTTTTCTCTATGGCTTATCCCCCTCTGGGCTACAGGGAAGCTGAGTGGTGGAGTATACACTGGCCTGATCACCGGTCCATTACGGGGGGGCGGGGGTGACACATCGAGACAGACCACCATTTACACTCTTAGTAAGACAGACAATTTCTAAGGATAAAGAACTGTGGCAGCCCACGCTTAAAACTCGGGGTACGTACATATGTACGTAACGTGGTAACGTGCCAGCCTGCAAAGCAATTACACATTTCTATTCATGGCTGTTAGTGTTTGTAATCCGCATAGCTAATTACCATAGCATGGCAGCTCTGGGTTGTAAGCAACTTGTTTGGGAACTGGTCGGGCTGCAAGCACAAATAGATATATCTTTATTAATCATTCTGATTATGTAAATAATATTATCCTCTTGAAAAAAAATGTATTAGTTACCATTGTGGAGATGAGACAAACGACAACCCCTCAACAGCGGCAACGAAACAGCCATCTGTTATGAAACCTCCCGCACATTTATGTGTCGAGGGAAAAAAAGCCAACATTTTACAAGATCATTCTTGCCGCCGTGATTGTGATATCGCCAAGAGGCGAGACTGAGAGGGTCTTAGTGCGGCTTCACTCCCACCGTTGTCAAGCTCATCACTGTCTTGGCCACCAAAGGAAGCATTGAGTGGCCGGGCCGTGGACAGCGGCCGTATCAATGACAGGCAGACCTACAAACGGCCGCTGGCTCCTCTGTGCGCCTTATCTGAGCTGCAGTGAGGGCTCTTGTCTATAAGCGATTCGGCCATCACTATCAACCTCCAGCAGGTACACAAGGAGCATTCACACGCTTACAGGACACTAACGTCAGCTCAAGTTAAAAATGGACTTGACGTTTGGTGCTCTGGTGACACAACTGAAGTCATAATTGTTGTTTCTGCTGGGAAGTTTTGATGAAGATGGGGATGAGGATGAGGATGGTTACCGCATTCCCCTTCCTTTACTGTACTGCAAATTGGAGGCATCTATTTTTAAAACAGCGACGATGCGCTGTTATGTTCTGGAGCTATTTTGCCACATGCGCTACACATGTGTCTTGAATCTGTGCAATCTGTACAATGCAATCTCAAGACTATCAAAAAGCTTGGTCTCAAATGCAGGTCACCTCCTGGAGCATAAAAAACATAAGCTCACCTAAATGCTATTGAACTTTTGGAGATGCAACCCTTCGAATCCTGGTCAGCCAAAATACTTCTTGACTAGTGAAAAAGTGTCAATGAGTGTTACAGAAATCATTTGAATGCGGTGAACAAAATGTTGACTTGAAGACGCCATCAATTTTGTCCAGGCCAATTGTCATGGTTCTGTTTTGTTTTGTCTCCAGCAGGTGGCAGTGGAACGGTTCCGCTCCTGTTCCTCGTCATGTCATCTCAGTTTTGTTTTGGTATTGTTCAACTACAACACTAATATCATGAGTGAGGTTTTTTTCATAACTCTTTTGGACTTTTGGTTATGTAATTGCATTGATGAACAGAAAAATTCATTTATGTGGGTGAATCTTGTGCTTCATTAATTTGTTAACGCTTCAAGTCAGACGGCTCGTATTTGAATAGCGGAGGAAGCTTGCATGAGCCCCCACGAACACCAAAGACTGTATTTTCCTTCAGGGAGGCAGCGTTTCATCATTAAATGATCAATCTGTGTAAGTCATGCATGCAGCAGATACAATCACAAATACACCCCACTCTGCCTGACCACCTGCGGGTCACACTCTTCAACAAAGAGTGAAGTTTTTGCCGCTAATCAGAAGCTAACGCTAATATGTGCATCCAATTTTTTGGTTTTGACAAAAAAACGTGTCAAAAGCGTCTCTTCCGCTGTGGATTGTTCACAGCCCTGCCGCCAAGTCATTGGCATTGAAACTCAGTGTAAGGACACTTACAATGCAAGTTTCCTCGACTGTTATGCAACAGTGAGGCAGAAATGGAGAATGTCTCGCTCACAGCCACATTTTCAGGCATGAAATCTTGACGCGTGGCCAGGTACTCAAGAGACGCACCATAAGTCCCCTTTTAGAGAAAAAGAAAACAGTTCCAATCATTTGTCGTCAGCTGCCATTATGCTTGAGCTATAACAGGAAGCTTCTGCTTCTCCAAGTGAAACCCAATGGAGATCTCATTAAAGTCATTGCTAAATGTGTCTGTCCGACCATTCACCATTTTGCTCTGTTGAAATGACTGCCGGGAAAAAGGTTGTGAAAGGAATTGGTGGCCTAATAGTTTTGCACATTGTTGTGTCACAGCGAAACCAAATGAGCAACATTGAGGGGGGTAAAAAAAGCAAGACAGCGCTCATTTAACATGATGTACCAGAGGTAACTAATGTAATGATTCTTAATAGCCTCCGCTGAAAGTTCTATGGGCAATGCTTCCTAAATGCCCTTCATGAGTCAGCTGCCATCTCCAAAACCGGGCAGGCTGCATATGTTCTACCAATTGATTGCGCTCTATTAACCGCCATTCATAAACCAGACACACAATCGCTTGCATGGAGTGTGCCGCTACCACCGATACATTCGTTTCTGTGTCTTGTCCCATCTCGTCATATTTTACATCTTTTTGTCGTAATATTGTGACTGTGAGGTGGCATTGTTTCCCTCAACCTTGATACCGGGCTGGTGTCTAAGGTTGTGGGTTTTATGGACACCTTTGCGTATTTTTAGAGTTCCATTAGTTGCTCGATGAAGACGAAACCGATGGCGTAGGCACTGTTCACTACGTCAGCACGGGCCATGCCGGGTGTCTGTGTGTGTGTGTGTGCGTGTGTGTGTGTGTGTGTGTGTGTGTGTGTGTGTGTGTGTGTGTGTGTGTGTGTGTGTGTGTGCGTGTGCGTGGGTGTGGGTGTGTCTGTATCCACCCGGTTCATACGTAACAGATTGGGGGAATCACCCCACTCTCACTATGATGATGTTTGAGGGGGAGGAGGTTTGATGCTGAGCCAGGAGGGAAGGGGTGTGCCTTTATAAGAAGCCTCAGAGGAGGTATGTGTTCAGTTGTTGAAATCCTTAGCCTAAGGATACAAGCTGAGATTACAAACTCCCTTGAAGCCACAGAAGAAGCCCTCGAAGAAAATCACTACGTCACAGATAAAGGTAAGGAAGTTTTTTTTTTTTTTTTTTTTTTTTGGGGTGGGGGCGCAGAATTTCTATCATGGCGACCCAATTGTGTGTCAAGATGGTGTTTGTCAAAAGGGGAGAAAATGCACTTGGAGATGAAGGCAAAAAAAAAAAAAAAAAAACTTTTACAAGATTGGTTTCTTCTGGATGTAATTGTTGTGGATAATCGATCCAAGAGGGATAATGTTGCTACCGGATCATCAGCTTTAACGTTTTCTCCTGCGCTTGCGTTTTTTTGCTTTCTGCTCCACTGGTTTTGTAAAGCTTTGTGAATTTGGAAAACATCCATCCGCAGCTGGAATTATATCATTCTTTGCTGGGGAGTGATGTATTCCCCACGACTTTATTCGTCTCCCTGTTGCTCCGATGGTACCATCTTCACCCTCTGCAGCGCCCACACTACAAATGATTACTACTTAATTAACAAGATAGCCCCACGCTGTGCTGAGATGGCACTTAGCAGCACTTTGTAATGGGCTGAGGCGTAGCGGACTTAAATCCAACTGTAGTAACTGCTAGACAAAGAAAGTAAAGAAGACTTTTTTTTTTCAACTAAATTCTGTATGCAGTAAGGGCAGGGGTCGACCAAATTTGCTTGAGCAATTATAGGAAAGATGATCAATTGTATGAAAAAGTTTGGACATTTATGATTGCATCCAAGGCAAGTATTTTTCCATCGAGAGAAACTCGGTGAGACCAAATCAACAGCGCCTCTGCTGGTTACAGACGAATACTGCACTCTATATTGCCTCCTGGATTCACAGTGAGATATCGCGCAATATCAACAGTATTCTTAATGAGCAATTAATCCACACATTGATTATTTTGCTCATCCCAAATGAGGAGTATGTGTGATAAAACAAAAGAATGATGACTTGCTCGGTCTGGTCATTTAAAACTACACTTTGAAATGATTTCATCTGTAGAGCACCGCGTTTGCAAGATGCAACTGTCTTAGGGATTCATGAAGAATTGCTAATGACCACGAAATAAAAACACATTCCAGAAAGCTGCGTCTTCCTCATTAAATCCACTGAGAGTATATGAAATGGAACATCAGGATTAATGCAGATTTCCCAGTTTGGGTCATATTGTGCTATAGCTTGACAACAATCCTTCACTTTTTTAATAACAAACTTGAGTGGTGGCACACTGAAAGTCATGAAGAAATTATGAACACGGCAAACTACATTAGGAATTATTTCTCCACGATGCATTTTTTGGGCGGCGAGAGAAGATAAATAGCGAACACTGGCGCCTTTCGCGTAAGCAGCTTTGCTTTTTTGACTGGCGGTGAGGCATCGCAATATTAGACAACATAAGACAAAGGGAACCTTGAAAGAATGACGGAGGCGACTTATCTGCGTCCAACATATAGGCAAGGCGCACAAGGAGGGAATCAGTCAAATGCTGTTATTATGCTAAGCGCAGGGCAATGATGATTTTAATGATAATGGTAATGAATGTGCATAATCTTGGGCCATTATCGGTGAAGACGTTTGTCGCGCAGGCGAGCGATAAAATGGGCGCTTCATGTGCCATTGACGGATAAATGACTCTGCGGCGTGGAATTGTTTCATGAGGGATGAAGCATGTTTACAGGACATGTTTTATATGAAGCAGCCTTTTGGACATGCGAGATGTAGCTGTGTTGCATCGAGTGCCGTCGGTGAGCTCGTGCTGTGAAAATAACGACGCATACCGTATCGTAGTCGTCATATTTTAAGACTCACTTCCCTGAGCACACGCTACAATCGCCCACTACACATTTGCCACTACATCGTCAGGTATTATAATTATTTTCTTCAAGTCTTTACAACAATGGTGACCTATTTTTTTTAGACACGCGCAACAGTCCGGAAGGGTGAATTTTCACTCGCTTTGGCTTGGAATTGTGATGGAGACAGTTTGACTCAGCAAAACAGATCATTTAAACATCTTTTAATGCTTTAGTGGCGGGAAACTTGAAATTTCAAACAAATACAAGGTCCATTAGCCTCATGGAAAGATGGGGGGAAAATGTGGCATTTGCTGCTGATTGAGAAAAGTTTTTTTTATTTCAGTGTGCCTCCGTCATCCCTACGCGTTTGCCGGACCATTTGGCAGTCCATCTTTTTCAGCCTCATTCCTCACCAATGTAAAAGTCTGAAGTGGTCGATTGCTTTCCTCTGGCTGCGTGACCGATGGATTTTGTGCAAGTGTCAAGGCAGCTTAACAGCAAACGAATCAATGGCTAAACCGTGTCTGCGGCCGAACGCGCTGCGGGATTTCTGCAATACGGTCCGCTGGAAAGTCACGCCGGAGACATTGGAGCAACGTCAGCGCGCGTTGTCACATATCTGAAAAGCCGGTTGCCTCGTGTCGTAGCTTCGCGTTTCGCACTTGGCGCGAGTCGGACATGAAATTAAACGGAAACGGTCGATCGTAGCTTATTGCCAGCGGAATGCCACTGAGAACCGAAATGGAATTTGACCACACGACATCCTCCAACTCGCAACCCCCACCACGCGCAAGCTTGCAGCATCTTCCACACATCGAGAGCAATACGACGTCACCGTGTCTGCTCTTTGTTCTCTCCTGGTCATAGCATCTTATTTTGAGGCCATTAACGCGGCGCCACGGGGGGCTAAAATGAGAAGTGTGATATTCGTGTGTGTGACTTCCAGTGTGTCCCCAACTAGAAAGGGCACATCTGCTGCTGGGATGGAGATATCAACCAGTTAATGGGCGCGATGAAGCTATATTCTCATTTCGGAGTACAACTGAGGGAAACGCTACTAATGATATGCTCACTTGATCTAATGGGAGCGCCATGCATGAAGTCGGAATGGAAAGGATCTCATATCCACACTTGGATTGAGTGCCGTAGAATATGCGAGTGTTTTAGTCCAGTGGTCCCCAACCGTTTTTTGTGTCACGGACCGGTTGAGACAGGTACATGCTGTTCGCGGACTGGCCAACCATTGATTTTAAATTGCCAGTTTTAAAGCACTGCTGCCGACAACAATGATAATTATACAGTAATTCAACATTTTATTAACCCTCATTGCTTCAAACGGTGTTATTCTACTGTATAACAAATGTTGTATACAATAAATTAACACGGTGAACTACGAACGATTAGGAATAATAAACACGCCTTATAATGTCAACATAATCATTTGGAAGTTACATGCGCCGTTAGCATCATCGCTACTTTCAAACGTGACATCCGGTGGTTGCCGACTCGTTATTCGCAACTCATCTGCTCATGTTTATGTGGGCACGCTGTGCAAACTCTGCTTGCACTATTCATGCTTTCATGCATTTTGGGTGGCAGTTGTTCAAATGATTCAACAGGTTTCTTGCGTTGCCTGGCTTTTGACGTTATAGCACGCACAACAGCTTCCTCCTCCGCGTTGCAAATAGCTTCATTTTCGAAAGTCATGGCTGCCCATACCTTTGGTCAATTTGTTATTATTTCTTTCTGTGTAGCGCTGCTTCTTTCGTTTATTGGCGGATTATGTTTATTTCAACTCGCAAACCAATGTTAGAAGGGGGACTAGGATACACCAGAGTCGTGCACTTTTCCACCACGTCGGATGGATTAAATTTGCTCACAGCTCTGTCTCTGTGCGGCACGGTTCCGGTTCGCGGACCGCTGGTTGGGGACCCCTGGTTGGAGACCGCTGGTTAAGGGACGGTTGTTTTAGTCTACTTGGGATGGGAGGAGAGTGAAAACCTGCGGTTTATTGTATTGCAGCTCAATTTGTTTCACCCGTGATTAAAACAGAAGATAAGATAGATAGGAACGAAAGACGTTGCAAGACGAAGCAGCGCCGTGGCAACCAGTACTGTGATCCTTCCTGCTGATATGGAGTCACATAAATTAAAATACGACAAAGAGAAGTGAGAAGATAGCGTCTCCATTGCATCGTATTGCACATTATCACACATTACTTAATGGGTGGCTATTAATAGTTTGATCCTGAACGCCAGCGCCTTAACTCTTCATTTACTCAATGTCATGGTCCTCATCATTTGTCAGTTCTGCCACGGAGTGACAAGAAACTGACTCGAGCACTGCAACGGGCCAGGTAATAAGTGCAAATGATTGTGCCGGGCGCATCCAAATTGGATTAAGGGCATTCTCTCAGATTAAGCATCCTTCCTGAGAGGAAGGTCAGTTACAAATTCACCTTTTCCCGCTACCGCGTGCTGTTTATCTGCGGCTGCACAGGCTGGATTACGCTGTCCTGCGAGGTCATCCTGTGATTTGGTGTGTGTGTGTGTGTGTTTTTATCAGTGTTTTTACAGGACCACACGGTGTGTTTACTGCATGATGCTCGTTGTTATACGTCTGAAACAACAGAATCATTTTAATGAGAAATATGCCATTGACAAAAATGTCCTTTTTCGGTTCGGGCAACTGTCAACGCGGCATATAGCACTATCGCTACTTTCACAGGTGCATTGAGTACTTTGAAGGTCACAAAGCACCGCAGCAATTTATTTGCAATTTTACCCTTTGGTTAGGAACTCAGTGAAAGTCAAAACAGCAATACTTGTACAGCTTCTGATATGTTCTTACACTGTAAACCCGAATAACTTAGCAGAGCTCCAAAAAAAAAAAGTGAGGCAATTGATTGCCTCACTTTTGTTTTTGAAGTGAATAATTCAAGAGTTCTAGTTTTCTTGAACTGAACTCAAATCAACTCTACTGTATTTCTAGCGTCTTCAAACTAAAAATCCAGTCTCATGCCGAGTCAAAAGCCAAAGAATAAAAATGAGTTTTAAAGAAGGGCAGCAAGGGGGGGTCATTCCCAAAGAGTGGGATCAGTGAAGGGATACCAGAGTAGAAGTGATGTGCTCCCTCTTATGAGGACCAGTCAAGAGGCGAGCAGCAGCATTCTGGACCAACTGGAGACGTTTAATGGAGGACTGGCTGACTCCAAAGTCAAGTGCATTACAGTCATCCATCCGAGATGTGACGAAGG